TAATGGTTACCACATTGTACAACAGCTTTCTAGATGCATTGTTGAAAACAACTGTGTAAGCCATAAGTAACTCTTACAAATTATATATACTGTGCACCAATTACAGGTTAGGAATTATGTTTGACATATCTCCAATCCTCATAATAAGACGCACCCATAAAACTGGGTATGGTCATGCATGTCTATAATCCCAGCCTTTGGGAGACTTGAGGCAGGAAGATCATGAATTTGAAGCCATCCTGCACTACAGAATAAGAAAGAAGGAAGGGGGAAGAAAGGAAAGAATCATACCATTTGATAAATGAGGAGTCTGAGGCTTTGAGTGACATTTTACTTTGGTATGTTTTGACCATGAATTGTGAGAGCTAGAATTTGAACCCACTTGGTTTGACACCAGAGCTGGATAGTTTCTGCTATCCTGCCATATCTGCTTGTGTTCTATCTGGAGGCCAACTACTTCCCCCAGTTTTGTGGGTCAGCTGGCAGTAATGACTAACCAGATCTCATAGAACAACTGCAGGGGCCATCTCAACTCTTCTGAATGTAGAAATATGACTGTCCTTGAGCCGGTCTTTCTTCTTACTGAGACCCATGTCCTTCAAAAGGTACTGTAAGAATAGAGGCCCAACCTTGCAGTTTCATTTGTGAGTGGATCACCTCCAGGTGTGTTTCCACATTTAGCTGTTTGGCAGCTTCAAAACTTGTGCCTAGCTTTGTAGATCCCAGCAGTACATGGTAAATAAATGCTTGTCATTTGAATGTGTCATTGTCATAGTTGAGAAAATTTGTGAAGTCTCCCAAGGTCGGTCTATTAGGTGACTCTGCCAACACTTGGGCATTGGTGCACAATTGTAATCTGTGATTTTCTACTTACTGTGGAGCTTGCAGTAATTATTTGTAAGGGTCCAAAAGCTTCAATTACAATATTTTATTTATTCTGATTCCCTTTGGAAATTGTGTATTTAGGTGGCACTCTCAGAATCATCAAGAGGTAATAACATTAAGGAATAGCAAAGATATACTCTACAATCTGGTGACTGTCACCAGACCCCCACCTAGTGACACTCCATGATATGTGGTCCACAGCAACTTCTTCTTGTCCATTGGGTTGGGTTGTTCTTCAGGAAACAGGTTACTTACCATGTACTTGGTCTCACCATAAATATGCCTATGACATTTAACTTTCTTAAAAACTAACAATCAGAGCTAGAGGTATGGCTCAAGTGGTAGAGCACCTGCCTAGCAAACGCAGGACCCTGGATTCAAAGTCCAGTACCACACACGCACAGTAAAAATAACGATCAGATCTCACAAGACTGTTTCTAGAAACCATCACCAAAGCAGTCTCATATTGATAGTTAAGAGTGTCTTGTCTTTAATTTTTTGCCTTTGAAAAGAAAAGAATTGTTTTTTAGGAGAAAGAATATAGACTTTGATAACCAGCTCCAATCACCTTGTACTTGAAAGATTTCTAATGTGCAAAGGTGTCTTAAGCTTCCTGAGTTACATCTGTCCAACTAATAGAAACAACCATGACAAGCACATCATTAACCACATGCGTGCTCGCTACATGCCAGGCTCCATACTTGCTGCTTTACACACGTAGGTATAACCATTGAATTCCCATAAGAATTTTGCATAGCAGATATTGCCATTCCCATTTTATAGGCAGGAATCTGAACGTCAGAGACATTAAAAGTAACAAGCTCAAGGTCACCTAGCTAATAAGTGGTAGAACTTACCATTGGACCCAGGCTAGCTTGGACCAATACATTTCATCCCTGTACCATACTTCAGCCTTATGAATCAGAATGATAACTATTAATAATATTATCTTGTATGATCCTTATGAAAATTGGAAGCAATACATTGGGAACTCCTGCCACAAAAACTGTTCCATAGAGATCCTGAACAAATGGCAGTCCTTTTATTTTTAAATCTCCACAAGTGAAACTCATAGGCCAAGATCACTAAAATGGGGAGCATCAAGGGGGAAAGGGCAGAGGACATACTCCCTTCACTTGGCCTGTTTGTGTGTGTGCTTGCTTGGTTTTTTTTGTTTGTTTGTTTGTTTGTTTGTTTTTTCTAATAGGCTTATGTCTGTTTAGGAGAACTTGTGCTGTTACTTCTTTGATGACTATAGAAGGAATAGTTGGAAATGTCAAATGGAACAGCTAATGCACCATAGTAATAATTCTGAAATTACAGCAAATTAAATCTGTGAAATGAAAATATTTTTTACTTTTATCAGTGCAAAGTTTAGTGCTATCTAAAGAGCTTTGTTGTGCTTTAAATTCAGAATGTAAGAGAAAAAATGATGGTGCTAACTTATAATATGATATATACTCAACAATTAGTTTTCTGTGCAGCTTTTACTCAACATATAATTCAGCAAAAGAGATGTGACCTGTGAGCTTCAGCCAACATTCCCCATTTCCAATTTGGCAAAAAAATTTCACATTTCTTTAGTTACTCTTGTGGGAGGAATCCAAATGCCAGTAGTCACCTTGATCTAAGCTACCTTATTGGAAAAGAACTTGAGTGTGGATTTTGGGTTCCCATGGCATTTTCCTTGTGTTTCTTTGTTGGGATCACATTCTTCTAGAGTTGGGATTTTTATTTCATTTTAAATTGGACTGATTTTCTGGTGTTAGATATTAATTCAATTCCAGTTGTATTAGTAATCGTTCTCTATCCCTAGAATAATAATAATGGAAGCCCAATAGATGTGAGCTTTTCTTATTGAATTTAGTATCACTATCTAAAATGTTATTGAAACCTGTACTTTGAAGATTTTTTTATTAAGAAATTAGCAAAATAGTTGAAATGGAAATAATGAAATGGCTCCCTGGCCATCTTGGCTATTAAAACCCTGAGGATAGACTGAAGTAAGGAAATTATAATTGCTGTTTACTTAAATATCATCTTATATCTCCACTACTGTTTTAAAGGAAAGCATCTGTCAAGTGATGAAAACTAAAGAACAATGGGTGCTTGTGTGTCTTCAGCAAGCTGCATATCTTGAGGAAGTTGCTTTGGCCATTCCATTACTGAAATGCCTGAGATTTAAAATGTGGCCCAGGAGACCCAGGATGCAGCTCAGTGGGACAGTGCTTGCCTAGCACGTGTGAGGCCCTGAGTTTAATCCCCAGCATTGTAATCAGTCAATCAATAAAATGTGGGGAATTGAGCTAACTAAATTCCTTAGTCCTTTCTACTTTTAAAAAGTATAGTTCTATACAATATTTATTTATATGAACAAAAATCAGTAGAGCTTACCTCTTAAGTAATTTTTGAGGTGAGCAAAATGAAATATACAAATGGAAAATGAGTAACATTACGTATGATCTGTAAGTTACACTGTAAACAAATTTTATAAGATACGAATTGCTTTTTAAACAACTATAAACAGTGGCCAATTTCCTGTGACCCATAGCTTTTTATCTTATGTAATGAGTCTTCCAATAACTATAACACCAGAAAAACAAACTGCATAGCATGTCATAAAACCATTTTAACCCCATCAGTGTTCTTTCTCATGCAGGGAATATTTGTGAATTTGGAGTAAGTGATCTTACCCTGACAGGGAACGTGGAACGTTTGAGTTTGCTCAGAATCCACAGACAAAATAGGCTCCTTCTACATAACTAAATTTAATCAAAAATTTTTCTTATCGCATCCCAAAATTGTCAAATTATTCCACCTAAATTAACTCAAAAAAAGATGAACCGTTAGGCATTATTGAATAGTGTTAACATAATAATATGCATGTTTAAGGATAATATAGTAGGATATGTAATTAAAGTTAAGCTATATATTATCTTAAAAGAATTGGTTTCAATTGTTTTAAAACTTAAGGTAATTTAATAGTGTGGGAGTTCATTTTCAGCTTTATAGTAAATAAATATCAATTCCTGAAATTTGAGGGTAGTACATACTACACTAAGTTTGTTGTATTAGAAGGACTGATCAAACGTGTGGTAGACTAATAGCATATGGATGTATTATTATAATAAATATATTATCGTCCTATTTCACTCATTCTGTCATTAGAATGAGGTGATCTTACTTTCTTTTTTCCTAGAGATGTTCCTTTCATCTTTTTTAGGCTTCTCTCAAGACCTTTTCTAAATACATTTAGTAGTACTTCCCAAACCGTTTGTAGTTGCATAGTTCTCAAGAAAATACTGAAATTTGCTTAACAGTACTTTAGTCGATTTGTTTTTGGATTCCTGCCCTACATTTTATTCTTTGTTCTTTAAAGATAGCTCAGAATGTCTCTTCCTTTCTTGTGAACCCTGTGGAAATAGAAGCAAATTGCTGTTTATACATTTAAGAGGTGAAGAAAATTACAAAATAAAATCTTATGAAGTATAAAGCTCAAATCCCTCCATGGCATGAAGAAAAATCCTGGCTTTCTAAAGTGTGAGTGGGTCCTTCTGGTTTGTTTTGTTTAATCTCTAGAACCTCCCAATTTTCAAGGGCACATGTAGCATTTATTTGATGTATGGATGTGTATGCATATTTTCCCACATCTGTCTTTGTGGACCTATCCTTTGTGAAATCCTAAACCTTGTATTAATTCTTACTTTGTGATTCGTGGTGTTCTGAGAGCAATTATATAATTTTTCTTAGGGTGTGCATCCAATGTATGCTATAAAAAAAAATGGGAGTTATTTTTTTGGTAACCCTGCCTTTGCCTTTTTATTGGCAAATTTCTTTTCTTTTTACTGTGACCTATGACTATCACTGTAGGCTCACTGCCAATTTTGTGAGCTGCTGCGTGCTTCAAAATGGAGGCAGGAAGGTATCCATTTTCATCAAGAGGATGAGTGTTGCAGTCTTTCCGACCATCTGGAAAGAGGAACTTTTAGAGCAAAAGAAAATGGGGATTAAAAAGAGATTATATTTAGCAGAAAAGGCAAGGGGGAAAACCAATTAAAGTTAAACTATACCTTATGAATTTATGCTTTTCTACTATGCTGTCTTATTTCAAGGAAATATAAATAAGAAAATACACAAGCTATTTTTATAAGGAACTAGTTTCCCAGTTTCCCAAGTCTCATGAGTATTAGTAAACGAACGTCAGTAAATTAGATTTTTGGCACACTTCTTAAGTTTATTGTACACACAAATATAATAAGCACTAAAATAGAAGCACCCCCCTTCCTGTATATACATGGATTGTTGGTGGTCTTATGTGGATCCAGGCTTTTAATGGCCTTTTTCATGCATCTCTGCTGACACTATGGGAATTTATTATTAATCACTTTCTGTGGTCTGGATGGTGCATTCATGTTTGTCCCTTTTCTCTCTTCTCTTCCTCACTCCTTCTCTCTCTAAAAATGAAATTCTTAATTGACAGGTCAAGTTTTGCCTCAGTTTTTTGGGGAGAAGCTTGGTGCATGCCTTTCTGTTTTTACCTTCCACATGCTCGTGGGCCATCTGTGTTTAAAGAAGAAAAGGCGTGCTTAGACTCAGGGCTACCCTGTGGGTATTGCACAGTATATTTACAACTAGACATGATTTGCAATACTCTTGCCTGCGACTGGAAAATCTCATACCTGGTTATTTTCTGTTCACACGCATATACTGAACTTTTTCATTTTCATTTTGCTGTCTTCAAAAGGCGTATGTTTCTAGGGTTTGATCAAATTTAGACTGGGTAGGGTAGACATTTACCATTTAGTGCCTAGTTCTTACCAAATAATGGACGTTGATGAGCATTGGTCAGTGCAGAAAGCAAAACTTACGTGGCTCTCCTTCCTCAGGTCTATGCTCCTTCAGCAAGCACTGCCGACTACAATAGGGACTCGCCAGGCTATCCTTCTTCCAAACCAGCGGCCAGCACTTTCCCCAGCTCCTTCTTCATGCAAGGTAAGATGCTGCTTCATCTTTGGGGAAATCCACGGGGTCTTTGCTGTCATTCATTCACTGAGCAAAGGAAATGGAATAGCAGACAAGTGTGAAGGACAGTGATGCCCTTGCTTTTCCTAGGAATTGAACTCCTTAAAAATTTATTTAGTAAAACTTTCCTAAGACTTTTTGTAATTCAAACCCTTGTGCAGGGGATTGGCCCGTTTCACTTAGACCTGAGGTTGCTGTTGGTCTTCCAGGACTGGCCATTTCAGCATTTTCTCACCATCCCCAAATGTGTACATGTCTACAAGTCTTTCAGCTCCATGTATGTTTTGAGCATTCTGAATCTGGCTAACAAGGAACACATTTTCCTTATGTCTAACCTTAAGTAAAATATTCAGCCACTTATTAATCTGTAAGTAAGAACAAAAGTTCCATTTAAACTGAAGTGACCTATCTGACCATTGGAATATTTTATAATGAAAGCCCAATCCCAACACACTAACTGATACAGGGTCAATGACCCAAATTTTTTTGAGAAGCAGTTGCAAAAATGTAGAATATTACAGCTTCATGGTGGATAAAGTGTATTTGTTCTTTTAATTGTCCATTGTATTTAATTAAAGGTGGATATATGTTCCCCAGAGTTTTTAGGATTGCCACTGTTAACATAACCATTTCTGCTGCCTAGAAAAGAATGGTGAAAATGATGGCATTATTCACAGGATGAAGCCAAGGACCCTGTCCCTGCGTTAGCTATTCCAGTTACCCTGAATGTGGCTGTGGAATTTACCAAGAACTCCTGTACAGAGCTCTTTTGCTTAGGAGTGAAATTAGATCAAGTGTGCTTTGGTGGAGTGCCATGGAACTTCCTTCTTTACACTACTTTAAGGAGGCCATGCCACAGAAGGAAGAGCACACTTGGACAGAAGCACTGCGGAGCAGCCTAGTCTCTCACTTAGAGTACATTGAGCATACTCAAAATTATTCTGATGAAAAGGAATTTACCTTCTTTCCCTCTAGAATCTTAGCTCTTTTAGGTTGCTAGTTTACATGAAATTCTGTAAAATTCAATCACGGGGGTTCCCCAGGAGCAGAGAGTAGTTGTTCCACACACAGTGGAGTTCATGTTTGTGGGGACTCAGTGTACACAGGTGTAGCTCTCTTGGGGATACAGTCAGTGGCTAGTCACTTGGATGTGTTCTGAGCCATGACAACAGGCTTGTCACCTTCAACTATAAACAGTAGCTACCTTGGCATTAGCAGTAGGAGAAATTATCCTCCAGGTGCTTACAGATGTTGTCGACTCAAGGATTCGTCACTCAAACCAGCTTTTCATCAAGAAAATTAACAGAAGGATAGGTTTTTTTTCTATCTGCCTGAGAAAGTGGCTGACTCAAACTGTGCCTGGTGCAGGGGGGCCACATAGATTAAAATAGTAGGTGCCTTTCCAGAGCAGACCACACAGAATAAAACTATGGGGAACAAAATTTGCTTTTCTGCATTTGAATACTCAAAAAGCAAAAAGAAAAAACCCGTAAGTTGACATTTATGATAAGTACAATTAATTTGCACACGTCTAAATTCTTTTCTTTCCAAACAACATTACGCCAAGATCATGGGATGTGATAAATATTAATTTACTGTGAAAAGCATAATTTATGTAAAATATGTATTTTTGTAAGTCTGTGTCGAGCGGAGTATTCTGTGTTCACAATCCTAAACGTATTGCCTCTGTATGCTTCACCCTGTCAGCATGTTTCAGGAGACTCTTATTCAGTGATAGATTTTCTCACTTTATTTGTCAGATGTGCAGTCTATTTAAAATGTTAATGGTCTTGAAATTCATATTTAAGGTGATTTTTAAACTTCTGTAACCTGAGGACTAAATCGCAAGTATTAAAAATAATAACCTTTTAAAATAATCTTGTGTTTCAAGCTGAGCACAGTAGCTTACAACTGTAATCCCAGCTACTTAGAAGTTGGAGATTGGAAGATTTATGGTTCCTGGCCAACCCTGGGCAAAAATTTAGCAAGACCTCAGGGTCTGGTGGCTGATACCTATGATCCGAGCTAGATGGGAGGCATAACTAGGAGGATCAAGATCCAATGCCAGCGCTAGGCAAAAATGTAGAACCCTGGCTAAAAACTAAGTAAAGGGGAAAGGGACTGGGCATAGCTCAAAGAGTAGAGCACCTACCTAGCAAGTGCAAGACCGAGTTCAAACCTCAGTCCTGCCACACGACAGCCACAAAAATAGTGGCATTTTGATTCTTGCCTTGAAAGGAGTCAACTTCCTTCAATAGGGCATATATGGTGCCCAGGGAATTCAGATGCTAAGAGAATATGCAATTACAATGAGAGATATTCAGAGACTGGGGCATATTTTAAACTCACGACTGTGGCCTCTTATTTTTAACTTTAATTTCCATCTTCTAGTTAAACTCTGAAGTTGTCAAAATTGCAGACATGAGTTTGCTTACATGGTTCATAAAGAAAGAAATCTACTGTCTATTCCTCTCAGTTCTAAAACTAGTCAGTTCTGAAATTCTAACTTCCAAATTTAAAAATTGAGTGAAAAACAGCTTCATGAAATACAATTATCAGATTTAACTGGCCTGTTGCCTAAGTTTTTAAGGCTTTTACTAAACAAAATGTTATCTTGAGGGCACCCTGCTTGGGACCCTTCCTGCCTGGCATGGGAGCTTTGTTCTTCTTTCTCTTAATAAACTTCTTGTCTAAACTCTCAAAAAAAAAAAAAAAAGTTGCCATGAAAGTATCCTTATTGTCAAAAAAGTAATACGCGCTATTCCTTTAACACCCAGCCGAAGGCCTGGTGTGTATCCAGCGTGCAGTACTTTTGATTCAGCTATTGAAAGAATGAAAACAAAATAAATTTAGCCATAGTATAGATTTTTTGCTCATAGGTTTGAGAAACCAAAACCAAACAATAGCAATCTAATAATAACCTCTAGGAAAGTAGGGCTAAGGAATGAAAGAACTGTAGGAGTGTTTTTAATCCGGTGTTAACAAAAGGCTAACTTTATATTAGAAGAAGCTCCCATATCATTTTAAACCTCTTTTTAACTCACAGCTTTATGAAATACAACTCTCAATTTTTTTTCTGCCATAATATCCATCTTGTGATATGTTTTGAATTGCTACTGAGGGTTTAAGGAAACTGTATACCTATATACCAAAAAATTATAAAATAGCCTACACACTGTAATTCCAACATTAATTCCATCCCTTGTGTATGTTACAAAAATAAAAACGAACCTTTTAAATCTGAGTTGTTCTTTTCTATTATTTCCTTATATGCTTTTAAAACTTGTAGACTTGCCAGCTCTCTAATGTCTCAAGTATTTTGTGTTCACCCCAAAGTTTGGAAACAATTTAACATTTTAGTTCTGTTTCATACAAATAGGGGTGAGGAACTTCTAAGAAATGTTTCCTTTAGCATTACTTACCTAGCCAATTTAACATAATTCTATGTAGCAACATATTCTGCTATTTTTACTGTTGAGTTTTCACTAAGAACACTAACTTCATTAAATGTTTGTATTTATTTGATAATACAAGAGCCACTTGGGAAAAAATTATGGTGACTGTCTTCTGATATAATCAGTTAACCAACACAAAGATGAATATACAGCAGGGGTTATTTTCAAGTATATGGGAAAAAAACAAAACAAAATCTATTCTGTAAGGCAAGGTTGAATGCCTAAGAAAAGTCATGGTTTTCTCTGTCCTTTACAGATGGCCATCACAGCAGTGACCCTTGGAGCTCCTCCAGTGGGATGAATCAGCCTGGCTACGGAGGAATGTTGGGCAATTCCTCTCATATTCCACAGTCTAGCAGTTACTGTAGTCTGCATCCACATGAACGTTTGGTAAGGCAGGCCTTTATGGGAAAGGTGACGGTACAGGTAGCAGTTTATGAGCTCTCATCAAAGAGTCATCCTATGAGTGTACACAGGACTCTGCAAATAAATGCCAACATAGTACTCACCCTTTATTCTTCCAGTGGGATTGTTTCTGTGATCAAAGGCACAACAGAGTCAGATCACCTTTGTACATCTTCCAGATCTTTTTTATTATTGTTCTTCTGTTTATTGTGTTTTGTTCTCCGCTTTCTTGATCATGATGTCAGCTTCCTGTACTACATAAACAGGCCCTGTATTTAGATTGCAGGATTTCAGTTATGGTACTTTTTCCTTTTTTGCTACCTGAACTTTTGAAGGATATACTGCAGAGGACAGAATGATCATCAGCTTTGAAGGAGGTTAGGGAATTTCCGTGGTGGTATTGACCTGTGGTGACCCACTCAAAGGAAAGAGTTTCTATTTCCTACACATTCCTGTTAGTAATAAGAACCATGGGGTTTCCACATGGATCAGATTCCACTTTTCCATATTTATCTTTAATTCCACATACCCAATCCATCAGTCATACTCCGTTTTGCCCTCCTCCAGGTAAAAACTGCTGGGCTGTGAAATGTTAAGTCTTCGATTAGTAAAAAGTTTCCACTCTGTCCTTTACCTGTATTCATTCATCCTAGAATATTTCTCTATCCTGGAGGAAGAATCTCATCTGAATCTTTTTTTATTTACTCCAAAACTAACCCAGTCCAAAATTCACTTGTGAATTTAAGTCTATCATTAACTAGAGAAAATAGTCTAGATCATGAGTTGGATTTGGGGTGCAGGTCAGATGAACCCATTTTGCAATAACACAACATAAAAATGTATGAACCTCGAATCCTACAAATGCAGAGGATTTTGCTTGATTCTTATAGATGTGTGGCAGATCCAATTTTCTGTAGCAGTAACTGTAGGCTTCATCTTGTAGTTCACCCCTATTTCTTCTCATCAAAATACTTATGCTTCTTTCTCTGTTCTGATGAAGGCAATAATGCTTTCCAGCTTTCTGTGGTCTTTCTTCTCCTTTGTTCAGCCACTACAGATACAGAAAAGGAGTCTTACATCCTACTGGGACCACCAGAAAGATTGTAGACATTTGAGATTTCCAATACCCTTGAAAATACCTACTTAATTGGTCTAGTGATAGAGACAGTACAAGGTCAGTTAACCTCCACAATCCTAAGAGGCATGGTCTAGACGGAATTGGACTTTTTGTATCCATATCCCAAGTTTAAGTGCATCAATTACAAATTATTTCAAATTTCAGCACATTTTCAGTAAATAGCAGTTGTCTGACTTCTCACTCTCCTCTTCCCCCACCTCCTATTAAGAGTGAAAGCTTAGAGAAATAGCAGTGGTTACTATACTGAATCTTATTGAGGGTAACATTTTTACTTTGCTACCATCATTTTCGTCTGCTGTAGGAACTCATGATCAAAACTAGGAAAGTTTTGATTGCAAACAAATATTTGGGACAGTATACTAATATGTTGGAATTTCATTTCTTTGAAGAGTTCTCCATCTTCCTTCGGTCCTACATTTCTTTCTTTTCCTTTTACACTCTAGAATATTGCATTAAATGATTTGGCTTTATCCTAATTAAGTCCATTGCATAGATGGCATATCTTTAAAATGTGCTTAGATGCACAAAAAGTGTAATTTCAAATTGGAAACCAACTATATTCCTTTTAAAAAAGGGATTTTTTTGGAGGGGGGTGTTGTTTTGTTGGTGCTCGAGTTTGAACTCAGGGCCTACACCTTTAGCCATTCTACCAGCCCTTTTTTGTGATGGGTTTTTTTCACGAACTGTTTGTCTGGGCTGACTTTGAACTGTGATCCTCCTGATCACTGCCTCCAGAGTAGCTAGGGTTACAGGTGTGAACCACTGGTGCCCAGCTAGAGAAGGTTTTTTTTTTTTTATTATTGTTTTATTATTCATAATGTGCATACAGTGCTTGGGTCATTTCTCCCCCCTGCCCTCACCCCCTCCCTTACCACCCGCTCTGCCCCCTCCCTCCCCTCCCACCCCCTCAATACCGGGCAGAAACTATTTTGCCCTTATCTCTAATTTTGTTGAAGAGAGAGTATAAGCAATAATAGGAAGGAACAAGGGTTTT